CGCTGTGCGGCCGGGGGCTCGTGCGCGTGCTGGCGGGCAGCGCGTTCCTGGGTGCGCTCGACTACGTCACCGCGTGCCGCCTGCGGCCGGAGGAGGCGCTGCTGGCCACCAAGTCTCTGGTGCCCTGGAACCAGCGCGGGCTGCTGCGGACCGTGCTGCGGGAGGAGGGCCGCAGAATGCTGCTGCGCGCGCGGGTGCTGGGCTGCCAGAGCCGGGCCGCGCTCACGCACGGACCCGGGGCGCAGGAAGGGTGAGAACAGCCGCGTACCTGGCGGGGCAGAGGGGCCGAGGGGCCGAGGGGCACGCTTCCTCCTTACAGATGGGTAAACTGAGGCAGAGTGGCGGGGTGAGTTCCCTAAGCATCGGTGACGATTCGGCCCCAGGCTTAGGTCTTAGGCTTCTCAGCCTCGAAGGAACGTGCTGCCCCGTGGACGAACTTCAGGAAACTTAGAGAGATCAAAGTAAAACTTGTGCACCAGCTCGCTGGTAGCATTTCCTTCTAGCCGTTTATCTTTGTGTATAGAAAAACCTATCATAGAATGGAGTTGGCCCTCTATATGCAGTTTATGTTGTGCATTTTTAACTAACTAGATCATGGAACTTTTCCTTTTTTGCCTAACAAGGGTCAGAACAGCTCGCTGTCGCATTCCCTAACTGTCCTGTTCAGCATAGCTTCGTCCAGCCGGAATCGTCCTCCATCTTTGGATGGCGTGGTGCAGGACGTCCTGTCTCGAAATGTTTTGTCCTTAAGACTGAGACAGGCGTGGAGTTCCTGGACCAGGGACCCTCCCCATCCTAGGGACCCTGATTTCAGGAGCCCACACACACACCCTGCCTCACCCCCAGGTGAACCTCCGGCTGCTGGGCTCTGCCCTCCTGGTGCTGAGTCTGCAGGGGGGCAGCCAGGTTAGCCCAGGGACCGGGAGGAGGCCCCGGGAGCCTCCTTGATGCCCGCCCCACACCCACACCCAGCTTCCTCGGCGTCCTGGGATGGGTTGATATTGCTTCGGATCCCTGTGAGGAGGTGCTGGCATTCGTGCAATTCAGGGCTGTCTGTATTTGTTCTTCCTGGGAACTGTCACCTTTGGGGCTCCGGCCCCTTTCCGCAGTGAGAGCTCATTAGCTAACATTCCAAGAGGAGCCTGCTTATAGACAACACCCCTGAGCCTGCACAGCCAAACTGTTCATCTGTTTCTGCAGAAGGGGAAACTGAGGCGGGTCTCCTTGGGGTCAGCCATCCACTGGCCACTCTGCCTCAGTTTCTCCTGCTGTAAAGTGCCTGTGGGGTGGTAGAGAGACCTAGGGTGGGGGTGAAGGCCACGAGGGTGAAGAAGGTGTGCTGGAAGGGGTGGCCAGGGCTCTGGCCCAGCCTCCTGGGCAGATGGAAGGGGCCGGGAGGGAGCCCGCCACCCGCAGCCCTCTCGCCACAGGGATGCCCTCGGTGTGCACCAGCTGGCCACACTGCTGGTGGAGCTGGACCCAGACGATGAGACCTCACGCCTCCTGGCAGCCGACGCCCTGTACCGCCTGGGCCGCCTGGACGACGCCCACAAGTCCCTGCTGGTGGCCCTCTCCCGCAGGCCCCAGGCAGCAGCGGTGCTGGTGCGGCTGGCCCTGCTGCAGCTGCACAGGGGATTCTCCTATGATGCCAACCAGGTGAGAAGGCCCTGTGGTGGCAGCAGAGAGGTAGGCACCAGACCAGGCTCTATGGAGGGCACCAGACCTCTGGGGCCTACTCTGCACCCTGAAGCAACCTTGCGGCCCCGGCTGTGGCACGGCCCTAGGCCCTCACTCCTGTGACCCTGTCTCCTCTTTGGTGACCGCTCCTGAGACTGGGTCACGGGAACCTGTGGCAGGTACCCCAGGGCCCACGGGCTTCCTGCGTGCCCCAGGTGATTCCTATTTGCTTTAGCTGTGTTGTGAAGAAAAAGGGCCAAGCACAGAACATAGGCTGAGCTCCCAAGCCCCCACATAAGCCAGGCTAGGACCTGATCCTGCCTTGGGGTTGGGACTGGGCAGCAGAGAGACCCTAGGCCTTCAGCCATTGGCTGTTCCTGAGACCCCCACTCCCAGGATGGCAGAGCCTCATGCCTTGGGTACAGAGGTCCTGTTTGCACGAACATTAGGAAGTGACGTGGGGGAGTTCAGGCTTTGGTACACAGGCTGAGGGACCTGCCAGCCCCTTCCTTCCCCTCACTCCTGGCCTAGTCTGGGGTCCAAGCCCCACCCCATGTCCCAGAAGGAAAGGGTGGGAAGGAAGGACACTCAGAACCCCCCAACCTACTCTGCCCAGGACCAGCAGCTGCCCAGCAGCTGGCAGGGGCAGAACTGGCCCTCCCCACAGAGCCGCCTAGGGGTCTCACCCACTCAGAGAACAGCCTGATCCCCAGCCTGTGCTTTGGCTCCAAACACGCCGTGAACCTCTGCCCCTTGATGGCCTGAAAGTGCTTCTCATGCTTATCATTTGGTCCCCTTGCCAGGTGGGGTCACCAAAGCAGGTCTCTGCCTCCTGTGACACAGGAAGTGGCCACAGTCAGGACAGGCCCGAATGCCCCTCTCCCACCCACCCATCTTTTCCTGCACTCTAAGCTGGGGAAAGTCCCTGACCTCTGGGACTCTGCCAGGAGATGGGGAGATGAAACACCTTCAAAGGCCCAAATGGCCATGGCTGCAATTCAGCACTTAGTGTTGAAAGACAGGAAGCCACCTGGGCTCCCGGGACAGAGTGAGGGCCTGGCAGAGCAGCATGCTGGGGGGCAGCGAGGGGAGAAGGGAACAGAGGTGGCGGCTCTGCTTCCATCCCCCAGCTGGTGAAGAAGGTGGTTCAGACCGGGGACACGGCCTGCCTCCAGTCCACACTGGACGTCTTCAGCCATGAGGACCGGCAGCTGCTGCAGGGCCACTGCCACGCGAGGGCCCTGAGCATCCTGCGAGCACGGCCCTGCGGGGCGGACAGCAGGGCCCATGTCCGGGAGGCCATCACCTACCTCTCTCTGGCCATCTTCGCTGCAGGTAGGGCCTCCCACCTGCACCAGCTACATGGGGATCTAGGGGTCTAAGAACCATGGAGTAGACAGGGTGAGGGCCACCTTCAAAGGGCACCTTGCATCCACCCTGGGCATCAGGCACCGGACGCTGCCCTGCACCCTCCCGGGCATGGGCCTGCCCTGTGCAGCCCTGTGCCTGGGTGCGCAGTGGAGCGTGCACTCCTAGTGGAGCACCGGGGGACACTGGATGCTGTGTCCTGCAGGGAGCGAAGCCAGTGAGTCCCTCCTGGTCCGGGCCCGCTGTTACGGGCTCCTGGGCCAGAAGAAGACGGCCATGTTCGACTTCAACTCTGTGCTGCAGGCCACGCCAGGGAACGTTCAGGCTCTGTGCGGACGCGCCCTTGTGCACCTGGCCCTGGACCAGCTGCAGGTGCTGGGCCACCTCCTCGCCTGGGGGTGGGGGCAGGGCACCACCTCCTTCTCCAGCTGAGGACAGTACACAGGGCCCAGCCATCCCAGTCAGCAAGGTACCCATCAGAGCCTGGTTTCTCCTCCCCACTTGCACCACAGTAGCAGGAGCTGCATCCCATAGGTCCACTTTCTGGTAGTCCTGCCCTCCCCTGGTCCAAACCTCAGTGTACAGGGAGAAACATACAGGCCCTCAGGGTGACAGTGGGGCCTGAAGGCCTGAGGCGTCTTCACCTGCATTGGTGGGGGCTACATGGACCCTTGTGTTGAAAAGTGTTTATAGGACAGATGCAGAGGATGAGAGCTGGCATTGATTAGTAATGTCTGCCACCGGCACAGCAAGGGAGTCCATGGGACTTACATTTGAAGTGAGATATAGCCCACATTTAAGATATTCTATAGAAACTGCAGCAATTCAAAATAAAATGTTGAGGGCCAGGCTGGTGGGAAGAGATCCCATTCACATGGTGGGAATCTTTCTGTGCATCTACCCTGTATGCTGCCTGCTCCCACCTCAGGTCACTCATGTAGGGTCTGTGTCCTCTCCCTGGGCTGCTTCCAAGCCCAGACATCTAGCCAGGCCAGGCCAGGCCAGGAACAGCAGAGAAACCTCCTCTCCTCATGCCTCTGTCTGCTCTTCTATAAAAGGAGACATGTGAGACCAATGATCAAAGAAGACATCACAAGGGAAATCAGAGAATATGGAGAGATGAACAAAAACACAG